GTCCAGAACCAGTCCAAAACAGTCCAAAAGTAACTCCAGAACCATTCCAAAACTATTCCAAAACTAGCCTCAAATGAGTTCAAAACCAAGTCCAAAAATAGCCCAAACCTAGTCCAGAACCAGATAAAAACCAGGCCTAAAACCAGTCCAGGACTAACCAAAACCAAGTCCAGAACCCAGCCGATAACCAGCCCAAATGCAAGTAAAAGACCAAGTTCAACACCGGTCAGGAACCCAGTTCTAAAACCAGTTCTAAAACCAGTTCTAAAACCAGTCTGAACCAGTGTAACACCAGCCCAGCCCGTTTCACACTCTGTGGGGGTTATTAAACAGAAAGTGTCGGTTCTGGAGCTCTGCGTGGGCGTCAGATCTGAGTGTCGGTTTGTTGCCGTGAGAGTCTGACAACCAGGAAAACCACAGGAAGTGAGGGAGGAAGTTACACGTCCCTGACTCACCCGCCCCCGCCCCGACCCCCCCATCAGCACCGCCGGGCTCCACGCTGACCCGCTGACATTTGAACACACCTGCTGCAGGCCGGCAGGTGGTGGCAGATGATTGGACGGCGGGCGGCTCTCAGCGATGAGCTCAGCGGCGCTACGAGGATGTGGGAGGTTTCAGAAACCGTGGTGACACAAAAACAGCGAGTTATTTACCGCTCCGACATCCGCTGAAGCTGGGAAATAAAACAATACGATGGATGTGGTCAGAACGCGAAAACCAGCGTTCGTCAGCTGATCAGAACCGAAACATCTGATCTGCTGCTGAGTCTGCAGACCTCACCGGTGATCGGTCGATGCTTTTATCTGCTTGATGTCGAACCTCAAGCCGAGTCGCTGTTTGCGTCCCATCAGGTGTCGACCTGCCGACCGTGTCTGGACGGAGCTCTGAGCCCAGACGCTGAGGTGGTTCAACATCTGGTCGGAGGTTCTCAGCTGGACGAGAACCTCAACTCTGCATCGACCAAACATCTCATCTGGCCGGAGAACAGCTGAAGAGCAAACCAAGTCTAAACCCAGTCTATAACCAGTTCAAAATCAAGTCTAAAACCAGTCTTAACTCTAGTATAAAACCAAGTCTAAAACCAAATCTATAACTAAGTCTAAAACTAGTCCTAACCCTAGTCTAAACCAACACCAAAACCAGTCCAAAACCAAGTCTAAAACCAAATCTATAACTAAGTCTAAAACTAGTCCTAACCCTAGTCTAAACCAACACCAAAACCAGTCCAAAACCAAGTCTAAAACCAAGTCTAGAACTGAATAAATAAACCAGTCCAGAACTAAGTCTAGAACAGTTGCAATTAAAGTCTAAAACCAAGTCCAAAACAATCAGAAACCAGTCCAAAACCAGTTTCAAACCAAGTCTAGAACCAAGCCTAAACTCTTCCCAGTCTAAAACCCGTCCCTGAGTGACAGACTCAGTCCTGCTGCCCTCCTGTTTCCATCTCAGTGAGTCCAGGTGTCCTCCCCTGTCGTCCTGCAGGGCTACCGAGGTTCCTCCAGGGCCTACATCGCCACCCAGGGGCCGATGGTGCACACCGTGGCCGACTTCTGGGACATGGTGTGGCAGGAGAGGAGCAGCATCATCGTCATGGTGACCAGGCTGAAGGAGAACAACGAGGTGAGGAGGTCCGACCCCTTCGCTCTTCTCCTACCGCTGGAGATCCGTCTGACGTCCGTCTGTCGGTTTCAGAAATGTGAAGTGTACTGGCCACAGCCGAGGGACGGGACGGAGAGGGTGGTGGAGGAGGACGAGGACCAGGAGGAGCTGGGCCGACGGCAGGACGGCGAGGAAGACACGAGTCGCTTCGGCAGGTTCCTCCTCCGAGTGAAAGACGTCCAGGAGAAGGACGGATTCACCGTCACCGACATGGAGATCCAGGTACGGCGTCACCACACAACAACGTGTTCTGACTGTGACGACACGTTCCAATTAGAGACCACTAGTGACCCGTAAGACACGAAGACAACCAGAGTCACACTGAGTCATCAGAAAGAGACGAAACACGACCACAGAGCGACGCTTCAGAGCAGCTGAACAGGAACCAAAGCCCACAGAGAGGACCAGGCAGAAAGCATGAAAACTGACCAAATCACACCAGAACCAGAACCAGAAACAGACGACAGGAAAGACAAATCAGACCCAGTATGACGACACACACTCAAAACAGGACCACAGCTGGTTCCATCGGACCGAGACACCGAGGCTCCTCGTCCCTCTGAGCAGCCGAAGGTTCTCCAGAACGGGTCAGATCTTCTGGCTTCACAAACTGGAGACTTCCTGTGAAGCTCCTGCTGAGGTTCTCCATCAGTCTGAACTCAGGTGGCCTCGACTGGTTCTGTCTCCGTCCTGCTCTGGTTCTGCTTTAAATGTTCTGCTTCATGAGCAGAACACCTTCAGCTTCATGTGCAGGAACAGAGCAGACCATGAAGTTCTACAGCAGCCTTAGTGAGGCACAAACTAAATACAAGATGACACGATGACCACAGAGATACAAGCCGAGAAAAGTTCTGCCAGATGTCGCTAAATGACCATGAAGACTCACACAGACCCGTCCAGAGCAGCAGGGTTAAGAACTTCATGAGGTTCCTCCTCAGGTTCACGCTAACTAGACCTTCATGCTCCGGTTCTGCTTCAGAGGAGTCTGACTGACTGAAAAACTCTTCATCCAAAGCAGAGATCTCCAGCTCTGGTCCTGTCCTGCAGGTTCTAGATGTTTCAACACACCTGACTCACATTGATGGACCATGAACAGACGTGTGTAGAACTTGACAACAAGCTGCTGGAGATCCATCAATGTGAGTCAGGTGTGTTGAAACATCTAGAACCTGCAGAACAGGAGCTGACGAGGACCAGAGCTGGAGATCCCAGACTGAAGCCTGCAGGAGCAGACACACCTCATCAGACCAGCGATGAAGCCGGACTCTGTCCACCGCCTGTACCTGAGCTCCTGTTCTGACAAGGTTCTGTTCTGTGTCCAGCTGGGTCCAGAGCGCCGCTCCGTCAGACACTACTGGTTCACCTCCTGGCCCGACCACCACATCCCACAATGCACTGCTCCTCTGCTGAGACTGGTGGAGGAGGTGGAGACGTACAGGAAGTCCCCAGTTCAGCCAATCACGGCCCCTGACCCCAGACCCGGAACCGGACCCGGACCCGGACCCGGACCCTGCCTCGGTCCAATCGTCGTCCACTGCAGGTTGGTTCACGAGCAGCTCCGTCGGTCCTGCGTCTGATCGTTGAGCGTATAAACGGTCCAAATATTTCAACCGGGTCATTTAGTCAAATCAGGAGTTCATGATCCGAGAAAAACTGTTGACATCAAGTTTTTACATTTATGGTTAAAAACTGACTTAACTTTTTAATAAAAGCAATTCTCTGGTTAGATTTAGAGGATTGATCGGCTTCAGAACCGGTTCTGAATGTCGGAGGAGGTCCAGCAGCCAGTTCACCAGCTGAAGCTCCAGAAACTGTTCTGACTGGTTCATGGTCACTGACAGTGAAACCAGTCAGGAGGCCAGATGACCCGTTTAGCAAAAATGAATATAAGCCCCGCCCACTGACTGTAAACAGGAAACCAGGTGTGTTCACATCCTGGCTGCAGGTGTCTCTAAGCTGCAGGTGTCCACGTTGGAACATGAGATATTTACACAGAAAGATGTTTTAACCTTTAATTAACTGCGTAGCGGTAACATCCACAGATACGTACCGTAGAGGCTTTTTTCTGAACACTTCCTGTAACACGGCTGGTTAAGGAAATAAAACTCCAGCAGCTACCAGGAAAAGTCACTGATGGCTATCTTCATCTTCCTCCTGCACTAAAACCACTAAAGTCGTCTTCTTCAGTGTCTTCAGGAGCTGAACAGCCTCAGAATCACTTCATCACTTCCTCAGTCTCTCTGTCGTCGTCGCTCTCAGCCTCACTTTGGTCTCCAGGTGAATTCATAAGAATCCATGAATCAGCAGCAGCTTCTGGTCCAGACGTTTCGGTAGTTTGAGAGCCGAGTTCTAATCTTGTAGGAAACGGTTCTTTCCAGGATGTGATCCAGTTCATCAGGCGACTGAATCTCAGTTCAAGTGTTTCAATGTTTCATGAATAAACTGAACGATGGAAACCAGAGACGATGAGCAACGACCACCACACAGAACCAGAACCACACAGCTCAGACGGGTTCTGTTTGGTTCCTCAGTGCAGGTATCGGCAGAACCGGCTGCTTCATCGCCAGCAGTATCGGCTGCCGGCAGCTGAGAGACGGCGGCCGGGTCGACGTCCTGGAGACGGTGTGTCAGCTGAGACTCGACAGGTGAGTCCACACCTGCTGAGCTGTGACCCGGTTCACACCTCAAGCTTTAACTGGTTCTGTCCTGCAGGGGCGGGATGATCCAGACCACCGAGCAGTACCAGTTCCTCTACTCCACCCTGGCCCAGTACAGCCGCCAGCTGCAGCAGCAACAGGGACCGGAACCAGTACGGCCCAAACTCCTACCAACCTTCAACCACACTGGGTTTGGATTCTGTAGGAATGTCAATAAACTGGCAGTTAAACTGTGTTTTCTCTTCACCAGAACCAGAACCAGCCCACCACACTGCCTCAGAACCAGCAGAACCCAGAGGAGCAAGTCAGCGCACAGCTGCAGAACCTCCAGCTGGACAGCAAACAGAGCGGCAGGAACTGACCAGAAACAGAACCTGGACCACCAGCAGCATCTCCAGAGACATCATCAGAACCTGGACACCAGCAGCAGAACCCAAAGAACCCATGGAGGAACTAGAGGGGAAACCGGCAGCATCAGAACTCCTGAAGAACCGGGACGTTCCACCTGTACTGAGAGAACGTGATGTTCTGATCCGATCAGTTCAATAAAACAGGAAAGTTCTGCGACCCGTCGTGGTGTTTTTCAAACATGAATAAAGATGTGAGTTGATGTGATGGACCCAGATGAGGTCCAGAGGAGCTGCTGGGTTCCTCCTGAAGCTGGAGGAGCTTCAGCCGTGTGTCGCTCCGTGTTGTGGTCCGTCTGGTTCTGGTTCTCCAGTTCAGTGGCTGATGCTGCTTCTGTCTGTCTTTGTGCTGGTTCTGTGTTTCTGTGAACGTTAAAGGAGACAAAAGAAAGTTCTGTTTTCATTAAATCCAGTTTCAACCTTCAGAGTCTTTATGGGAACAAACTGAAGCGTGTGTTTGTGGTCCAGAGTCAGCGCTGGGAGCTTGTGTTGTTGTTGTTGTTGTTGTTGTTAGTGTTGGTGTGTGTGTCTGTGTGTGATGCTGTCGGTGCAGCAGCGCCTCCTGCTGGCTGGAAGGACAAACTGCACGGACAGAAGGAGACCCGAGCAAAGAGCCGCCGAGGACACACCTGGAGCAACAGGTGGTGTGTGTGTGTGTGTG